GCCCCCCGGCGCCTAACAGGAAACAGGCTCCTGTTCCTGGGTGGAGATCATGGACCTTATTCAGGTTTGGGAGGAATGCCCCTAATGTCCATGATCTCTGCACTAGACAGAGGAATGCGGCTGTCTATGGTAGGATAGCTGCCAGCCTGGCCACCAAAGGCCACATGCGAACCCAGGAGCAGGTTTGCATGAAAATCAAGTTGGTCAGGTGAGACCCCCCAACCCTGGGCCCTGAACTTCCCCTCCCCCTTCTTCCCCTTTCTAGCTCTCTCCTCCCAGATTTCTCCCACCCTCTCTTTTCCCCTCTCCCACCTCCTTTTCCCAGTCTCCCCAGAGTTTCATCCCCCACCCCAGGTTTGTTCAATAAACCCAGTTTCTATTTTTGAACATACATGCCTTTTGTTTGACATTAGGAAGGGGGGCTAGGGAGAGGTAAGTGGAAGGACATGAGGGAGAAATGGGGCACGAGCCCCCGGTGGGGAGGACCAGGGTGGCTCTGAGGGCTCTGAGGGGTGGATGCTCTCCCGCAGGGCCTCCCGGATGCTGACAGCCCCCCGATGGACCCCCTGGATGGCACCCTGCAGCAAGTGCAGCCAGGCTGATGGCAACAACCCCACAAGACACATCGGCATACCCAGGGGCAGCTCTGGCTCCATGTGGCCGAGTGCTGTTGTGTCCCGAGTACAGGCACTCAGGGCACTCCAGGACAGGACGGCTTTACTGTCCCTCATCGAGGCAGACAAGCAAGCAGGGAACCCTGAGAACTGTCTGTCTAGGGTACGGGTAGGGTCCCTTTAAGTACAGAGCTCAGTTAGCCTCAGGCAGCAGCCCCACACACTACGTCCTAACCTGATGCCTTGCCGGCACTGGTTCCAGCCAGCCTTAACTTTGGTTCAGGGTCCACACAGTGTGGACGCGCTATTTCGAAATAGCTTTTGTGTATAGATGCATTATTTCAAATTAGCTTAGTTCAAATTAACTATTTCAAATTAAGTTAATTTGAAATAGCCTTAGTGGAGAGCCAACTTCTTTTTAGCTCATGTACTATGCTGCAAAGGTCCCAGGTTCAGTTCTACCTGTTGACATTAAACCAATGGAGGGCTTATGACTTTAGTATCTGGTTTCTGGTTAAGATTACTAAAACATCAAGTAAATGTTTGTAAAAAGCTTTTTTTTTAAATGAAGCTTTTAATTAATTCTTTTTTTACACTGAAAAGTGATCACAAAAGAAATAAGTGGGTCCTAACAATCTTTTAGGTATGGTTGTCTCATTTCTGTAAGACTGGGGATTCACAGGAATTTTTTCCTCACATTTTTACTTTTTGAATCATTTCACCTCATAAAAGGTAACCAGAATTTCCCTAAAATAGATTCCAAAACATGAAAACTAGATACCAGAAATCCTTCCTTTGGCACGGATGAAATAGGATCTGATCTTTCTGTAGAGGGCAGAGATGTAGAAATACTCATATGCACTACAACTTTTAAAACAAAGATCCTGGTTCAATTAAAATATTTCCAGTAATTAAAAATGGAATAAAATAAATATAACTGGAAGGGCAAAATTGTCTCTGCAGGGAAGAGATAGCAGTGGTTCTTTACATCTTGGCTTAGAAACATAAAATGTATAGTTAGTGTTTTGTTTTGCTATTAACAAAAAGGCCAAATGAAGCAAAACCACTCAAAGATAACAAAAGACTTTCACCCTATTAAGGAACAGAAATTAATATCATACTAAACATGATTTCAAGAGATTCTGCCACTGTGATTAAGCTTAATTATCACTATTAATTAATTGCTGTTAATTATATTAATCGTAGCCCATTGTCTGTGCATCTGTAACGCTGACATACATGGCCATGCCCCCTGGCAGTGTATGTCAGTGCCCTGCCCCCCTTCCCCTTCCTCCGTGGCAGTTCGGCCAGCCCCACGGCCTCCTGGACATGCCCCTCCACCAGCGCTGCTTCCCTCCCCCCTTCCTCCCACCACCCCATCCTCCCTCCAGCCCCACAGCCCCCAATCCTCCCCAGCTCTGCTTTCCACCCCACTTCCGGCCAGCTCCGCCCCCTTCCCCTCCCTGCCTGGTGCACTGCGGCACTCCCAGTTGAGCAGCGCTCCCGCTGGGCCCCATCGGGGTAGCAAGCGGCAGCAAGTGGCCCTTTGGGGTCCAGCTGCGGCCAGTGGCTGGGCCACCCCCCCCCCCCCCG